AAAAAAAAAAAAGCCCAGACTCAGAGAGCAACTGAGGACACTACACCCAAGTTATGTTGTGCTGTCTTTTCTGTGCATCTTGGCTCATCGGCAGGAACTGGGAGAGGGATCTCGGAGTCTTAGTGGACAACCAGCTAAATAGGAGCCAGCCGTGTGCAGCAGCAGCCGCCAAAAAAGTGAATGCAATCCTAAATTGCATTAACAGAGGGATAGAATCAAGATCAAGGGAGGTACTAATACCACATTATAAAGCCTTAGTAAGGGCACACCTAGAGTCCTGCATCCAGTTTTGGTCACCACACTATAAAAAAGATGTTGAGACTCTAGAAAAAGTGCAGAGAAGAGCAACCAGGATGATGAGGGGACTGGAGGCTAAAACATACAATGAACGGTTGCAGGAACTGGGCCTGGCTCATCTAGGGAAGAGAAGGACCAGGGGAGACAGGAGAGGAGTCTTCCAATATTTGAGGGGCTACCAGAGAAAAGAGGAGGGGGGGTCAAGCTATTTTCCAACGTACCTGAAGGCCAGATAAGGAATAACGGATGGAAACTGATCAAGGAGAGAGATTCAACCTGGAAATAAGGAGAAACTTTCTGACAGCGAGAGCGATCAACCAACGGAACAGAAATTGCCTTCAGAGGTTGTGGGAGCTTCATCCCTGGAGGCTTTCAAGAAGAGACTGGACTGCTCTCTATCAGAAATGATGGGGGGTCGGGTCTCCTGCTTGGGCAGGGAGAGATTGGACTAGATGACCTCCCAGGTCTCTTTTAACTCCGATTCTGTCTGCTCTGCAAGGAGTCCAAGCCTCCAATGAAAATGAGGATGGACCAACAAGGAAGCCCCCCAAGCATTAACGGATGCGCCTTCTGATGAGATCACAGCCCCTCCCCCACCCCCAATGCCAAGCCTCGCCATGTAGACGTCTCGAATTTTGGACCTCCACCCTCCCCCGCGGAATAAACCAGGCCGGTTGTGCTAAAACAGAGTTTATTTGACCTCCCGGCCCATCAGGGTGGGAGCAGAATCAGACCCAAGCTACCGAAAGCATCCATGAAGCGAAGGGGGTGCATGCAAAGCAGAGGTTTGGGTAGGTGGGGGGCTGGGGGGGCACGGGGTGTATCTGCGCGGCGGGGGCTTCCTTGATTCTCCAGGTTTCCTCAGGTGCTTCCCACGGACTGTGGCTACATCTTGCAGACGAAAAAATTCTCGGATTCACACTTGGCAGCTTCCCATCTATAATGTCCTGGGTGGAAAAAGAGAGAGAGAGAGAGAGAGAGGAATGAAAGTTTTGGGCAGCACAAGAGAAAGTTTTGCAGCGAAATCCCGCAGGTGGAGTTGGATCTAGGACATCCCTTCAAGGGCCCCTCCCTCTCATGCCAGGGGGACATGAGGATCCCACAGGGGAAGAGGGTGAGGGTCCAACAGGGGGGAGTACCTTGGATAATTTACCTGGCTGTCAGGTTTATTTTATTTTGTCTTGTTTTTATTTACTCATTTGCATCCCACCTTTATTATTTTAATCAACCACTCAAGGCAGCACACACCTTCCTCCTCCTCCTCCTCTTTTTCCCACAACAACAACCTTGTGAGGTGGGTTGGGCTCACGGGTGGGATTCAAAAATCCCAGCAACCGGTTTGCTGGCCAGGTGGGGGCTTTTGGCACTTCCTGTTTCCGGCTTCTGGTGGCCCACCAGAGCCTGGGGGAGGCCATTTTCACCCTCCCAAAGGTCTGGAGGACCCCACTGGGCCTCTGGGAGGGCGAAAACAGGCCGCCCGGAAGCCGGAAACAGGCTGGTTTCTGGACTCCCAGATGGCCCATTTCCTCCCCCCCCCCCGAGCCTCCGCGCAGACCTTGCACTTACCTGCACCGCGTGGAGAGTCCTGGGAGGGGAGGGGAGAGAGGGGAGGGGAGGGGCCAGCTGGGCAGTTGACATACCGGTTTGGTGAACCAGCTGTAACTTTAACATCCGGTTAGCTTGAACTGATCCGAACCAGTAGAACCCCAGCGCTGGTTGGGCTTAGAGAAAGCAACTGGCCCAAAGTCACCCAGCTGGCTTTCATGGCTAAGGCGGGACTAGA